CTGCTCTTTTTTTTTTTTTTTTTTTTTTCTTCATTTTTTGCCCGTGACCAGCTCTGGACAGAGCCCCGGTTTGCAGGGGCCAGAATCACCCTTTTGGCAGAACCGACAGGAGCTGTGGGAGTCAGCTGAAAGGCCCCAGCACCCTGGCACACCCCCCAGGGCAGCTCTCCCCCTCGCAGAGCCCGGCTCAGAGGTGCTGAGGACACGAGGAGCGTGACCCTGCGAGGTGCTACCCCTCAGACCCCACCGAGGAGCCGCGACCTTACGTGAAAGCGGAAGTGCGAGACGTCCGAGGGCACCGCCACGTTGTAATGACCCACAGCTTTGTACACGTTCTTGCTGTGTTTCACCAACACTCCCTGCGGCCACATGCACTCCTCTGTCCACCTGCAGGAAAGAAGCAGAGCGCTCTCATTTCTACCTCCAGAGCCGGAGCGGGGTCTGCTGCCTCCCCACCATCACCCTCCGCAGCCGTGGCCGCGGCAGCAAGCTGACATCATTGGCGAGGGCAGGGTTTGGCCCAGCGAGGTGCGTAACTATGGCAGTGACAAACTGCGGTTACCTGTGGCCAAAAGCAGCAGGCACCTTGCCAAAAGTCAGATCTGCTTGCTGCGCTGCTTGGAAGTGGCCAGCACAGATAGTGTCTGTAAGCTGTCGGATGTGTCAGCCAACAGCTCTGCTTTCATTTTTCTTTCTCGTTTTGTTTTTTGTTTTTAAAGTAACAAGAGGAGGAGGAGAAGTGGCTGGAGAGCTGAGCTCCCCATCCAGCCTCTCTGCTCATGCCAACAGGCCTGCCAGCAAAAACTCCAGCCCCAGCCCCAAGAGAGAGTTCCTTACTGATGCTGCAGCACGTTGGAGCAGAGGGCTGGATCGACCTTCTGCCAGCAGCCCAGGTGTGCTGCAGCTTTGTGGAGCAGGTCGCAGTAGCGCGCGGGTAAGAGGTACTGCATCAGGATCACCGACGTGCTGATGGAAACCAGGAGGAAGAGCTCACACGACCAGCGTTTGTCATAGTACTGAGTGTTCTGTAGGGGCGGGGGGACAAGACAAATGCGTGACGAGGTGTTTGGACAGCCTCACCTCACAAAGCCATCACAACACAAAGTGCTCAGGCAGGTACAACAAGGGGTTTTCACGTAGCTATTAATCCTGCTTGAAAAAGAAGCACCCACATAGGATGGCTGCTGTACAACTGCTGAACACACCACGGTGAAACATTTGCGCTGTCATCACCCATCACCAAAAACAGGGAGAGAGCTCCTGGTGCTCCCCAAGCTCAGCTGATGACGGGGGGGGAGCACCAGCCCCTCAGGGGATGGGACTTGGGCTCATCCCTGAGGTCTGACAGATTTACTGCAAGCCATTTGTCTCACTGTACAACCTATTAGTAACTTAAATAAAACAGCAAAGAATCCTAACAAGGTCCATACTCCTTCCTCCCACCACCCTGGTTAAAGTCAACCCCCTTGTCCTGGAGCTCTGTCCTCACAGCTCAGCATGTGAAGGAATGGTTGGCCTGGAGCCCTTCCAACTTCAGGGGGAGGCAGGATGGATGATACAGACGGACAGACACTCCCACCAACGGTCAGAATACACCTGACCAGGACAGTATCATTCTACATTATCTGGAGTTTAAGCAAAGCTAAACCTAGACGGTTTTGTTACTTTTCATGAGGCCTCTGTAATTGGGTTTGACGCAGCCGCCTGTGCACACAGACCTCTGACCGACCTCGTGCCAGCGAAGACAGAAGCAAGAACCAAACCTCCTCCACGACCCCGTGTCCATCTCCCCACTGTCCTTCCCCCTCCCCAGCCCCACGCCAGGAGGAGCAGAGTCTGCAAGAGCAGCACCAGCCCTGGCTCACCTTCACAAACCAGACCGGCACAAAGGCCACGTAGTAAGCGCTGAGCATGGAGCTCACCAGCACCTCCTTCATCCGCCAGTTAAAGTCCATTTTCAGGTATTCCACCTCGTTGCGGATGAGATCCGGGGAGAGGCAGCAGGCGTGCGTGGGCATGGCCTCCATGCCGTACATCTGCCGAGTGTGCTGCTTCCAGGTTTCCTTTAGGACAGTCAGGTAGTCTCGGCCCCTGGAGGTCACCTCGCTGGTCTCTCTGGGACCGATGTTGGCCACCTGGGAGAAGAGCCCCGTCTTCCGCAGGTCACAGTTCAGCTGAAGGAAGGGAATGTACATGCCAAACCTGGAGCAGCAAAGTGCAGAAAGGTGGTTACTTCCTTAGGAGTTCCCTGGGCAAGGCCTTTGCTGGCAGCAGATCAGCGTTACGATCACATCCTGCTCCTAACTGGCATCTAGTACCTATACAGACTCCAGAAAAGACCTTCACCGATCTGATCTCAAACACAAGCACCGAGTCTCAGATCTTTATGTTTCCTCCTGCACCTAACAGAGAGAAGAGAGCTACTTCCACAACTTGACTGGAAACAGAACTGGCTTCCTTTTGTTATTTAAGATGAAGCGGGGGAGCTGTTTGATTCACTCCACCTGGCAGAGGCACTATGGACTAAGGTAAACCAGAGACACAGGTTCTTTGAACACCACGAGAAAAGCAGGCAATCCTTTTCAGAGGACGGGAGCAATCTAAGGGTGCTCACATTAAAAATATGAAATATGGGTAACTGTTAAAGATATGCCCTGCCACCGAGAAGAAATGTGACACAGCGAGAGGGAAAAGGGTAGTTTAAGTTCTGTTAGCAGGTAATCAAGTGCTTATTTACTTTCAGGCTTCATTTCAACTGAGCAACACCCACTGCACTGAAGCAATATTAGAAATCACACACAAGTGACAGAAGAGATACTTACGGGTAACACAGGAACAGGAGATTAAGGAAAGAGTAGGTTCTGAAAAGGTGAATTATTGATCGACACAAACTCCAGCCTGTGCCAGTGAGAACAGCAAACCGAGTGATCACCAGGAAAATAGAGCGTGGCAGGGAGACTTTGCCACTCTGTGAAGCCTGCGGGGAGAGAAGAAAGAGCTGGGCAGAGAGGAGACTCATTCACTCTTCCTACAGGAAGCAAACGGCAAAAGAGCAGCACCCAGTCTGTAAAATCAACCTCATACGCATGAAGGAAGAGCCAGTGGAAGGCTCTGTTTGACTGCCACTGGAAAGGGGAGGCCTTCTGCAGGCTGGAATCTGGCCTCTCCCAAACCCAGGGCCTCACTCCTCAAGCGGGAATGAGCAGAGCTCTCAGAGTTCCTTGTTAAGGTCTGGCAGTTATCGCTGTGACCAGCCCGCTCTCCTGGACCCGCTCGCCACAGAAAGCTTCCGCAGTCAGCAGAAACCAACCTGCACTGGTCCCTCCGTGCAGAAAGCCAGAGTAATTAAGAGAAGAGGAAAAGAGCCAAAAGCTGTTCTTCACAAGGAAGAATTACTACAGTCTCGCTGAGACGGTAATTCAGAAACAATCACAGAAGGACAGAGAGTCATGAGCAAGAGTTCAAGGCGCTCGTTTCTGTTCTTCCCGTTAGAAACCGTGCCTAGGTTTCTGACTTGGACATAGCACAAGGTTGTTTAGAAAAGGACAGAAGAGTTTGGAACTGCAAAAGGGGACACACAGCTTTACATTTCGCCTGAGAGGAAAGAACAGTTCTGAGATCTGCCTCGGGACTTTACCTCCTTCACAATAGCACCGATCAGCCGGCGTGCCAGGACGATTGTTGTCACTGTCAGCACGTTGAAGTCAATAAGGTGAAAGTTCTGCGGTGACAAAAACAAAATGATTCCACTTTCCATCAGGCAGCAGAAACCCACATTCAACAGAGAAGCTCCCAAGTTATTCTCTTCACCTCGGACTCTCTCTTCCAAGATCAGAAAGAGAATGCCAAGCAGACAGCCAGTGCCCAAAATTTGCCAAATAACAGTCACATGAGCAACCCTCCAGGGCTGTAGAGTCACATGTAGTTTGCATGAAACACATATAGAAAACTTTATGTCTAATGACCCAAGAGAGTGTCTGTGAGTATCACGGGACAGCAGCTGTCCTCTGGTGCTTACCAATGACGTGTGCGAGGGCGGGTGGGAGGGTGGGTACCACCACACGGTTTTGTAGATGTTGATGTAGTGGACAAACAGAGCAACGAGATGACAGAAGAAGAGCTGAAGTTCAAACAGCACACTCCTCTCCACGGGCAGCTCTGGGATCTTACAGTGCCGGAGGGGGACGACTGTCTGAGTTGCCAAAGGTGGGCTGGAAAGGCCTGTACCTGAACCGCTCCTACCAAGGTAAAGCAAAAGGCAGCAGTCACTTCCCTGAGATAAAACACAGCCCACAGCCTCAGGCTCTAGAAGCTGGGGGGTCTAATATTGACCGAGACACCTAAGCTGACTGTCAGGGTCAATGGCTGACACACACCAGGAGCTTCAGTGCCCTGAAGATGTCTAGAACGACTATTACAGGCAGATGTCAGCAGGAATTTGACCAGCAAAAGCAGCATTGGGAACCAGGCCAGTCCCCAGCACCAGGTCGTTTGGTATTAAATCCCCTGCGTTGAGCCAGGTTCCAGAGCTGTGGCTGTGTTTTGCTATTCAAGGGGCAAGCAGTGGCCTTTTTAATTAATTGGAAGCTTTTAGGCCTTGAGTTGCTATTTACATTTCTAAGAGCGCTTGAACATGAAATACAGAGCAATTAAACACAAGCCCTTTCTCATTCTTTAACTTCTATTCAACTATGGAGGAAAAACAAGTTTAGTCAGAGGTGCATATTCCTGTGTGAGCACGCACACGATCCCAGACAGCAACCCTTTTAATCAAAGGGAAGGGAGTTAATATATACTAGATGTATCTCTCCTGATTTGCAATCTCTAAATAACAACAGTCAAAGGAATCTGGGTGTGGGTTTCAAAGGAACTACAGAGCACGAACTCCTACTGAAAATCCCCAAACCACAAAAGTCTCGGAGTGTGACTGCAGAAAGACTTTTAGCCCAGGGGTGGCTACAGGTGGATTAGTCCCTGCTTTTTAAAACAGAAGGCTGACAGCCTACATTAAGGCCCTGTGTCAGGGGAAAACTTTAGGAACCCGAGCTGTCCCTCTAAAACCCCCAGATTCCCAAGCTGACAAGACTGATTCAGCTCCTCAGGATTGATAAATCCACCAATGAACGCTGCTCCCTGCACACAGAACAAAAGTTGCTGTTCTGATCCTACAGAAAGGGGCTTTAAATATAAACACAAACGCCTTTTCTGCTTTGAACAGACACAGCAGACCCAAGAGCAGAGACAAGGCTCTCACACGCATGAAGGGACTCCTCAGCCTGGGCTGCCAGGCAGGTGATGGGTATCCCAGGGTTCAGCTGCAGAGACAAACCACTCAGAGGTGAGCTGGGGCATTACTGCTCATGGTAAGAACCTTTGTGCAAGCTCTCGCAGCAAACTCTGTACATGGTGGATTGCTCCACCTTCTGTGGCCTTGCAATGACTTGTCTGAATAACTGTATCCCCATAAATTTCTTGGCTTAGGGCCATAAGCAGGGAGTATGTTAAGACAGATCTGACACTTTCTGTGCAGAGAGTTCATAAGGCACCTCCTGCTTACGCACTGCTGTCGGTGCTCTGCTTCTCCTTCCTCCTCTCTACCTCAGCCGCAGAAGTGCAACCAACCAGCTAGGCTAGAACCTGAAAAAAACCCACAGTCTACACATCACCTGACCTAAACTCTAACCCAGAAATGCCTCACCTGACATAAACTTCAGGGCACAGGAGACGCAACAACCTGAACTCCAGAGTCAGGCTTTTGGATAAAAAATTTCTATTTTTACTTTCCATTCAATGGTCACTAAAGGCTTCTGAACACTCATGGTCTGATGGTCTGATAAAGCACTTAACAGTCTCCACAAATTAACACCTACTATCACAATTACAACATCCAGTGTGGACACTGCCACGTATAGGAAAAGGATTTCAGCTGGACACTGGGAGTTAACAAAGCGCTGAGCCACGGGAAAACCAGCAGCGTGTGAGATGAGGAGATACAGGTGGCCTCACACCTCCCTCAGAGAGGAGCAGCCGGCCTGGCTAGACGTGAGGATGTGGAGAGCGGGACGTACCTGGTACGTGAGCGCACGCCCGTGACAGAGGAACTCGTGGAGTGGCCGGAGCCGCCAGCAGCCCCGGGTTCACAGAGGGGATTTCGGCAGTAGGACGTGCGGTTAGGGCCCCGCCTTCCCCCTGCCATAACAACAGAGGGTGCAGAGGGCTGATCTTCCAGGTGGCTTCTCTGCTGTTCACTGCGTGATTATGTCTTCAGTCCTTAAAACTAAAAGGAAAAGATTTATATTTAAGGCTCATCTGCTTACCACGCCCCTGGTGACCAGCGGGAACAGATCACTGCTAGTTTGCAGCACAAAGTAGGATAATCCAACTTTGCTCAACCCTTTTCTGTATCTCCTGTACTTGCCACCGGCTACAGATGCGGCCCCAGATAGCTCCCACGCTCCGACGTGCAGCAGCTTGCCAAGGTGCTGCGGATTCACTGAGTCTAAAGCCTAACGCATGCAGGCTTCCACAGGAGCAGGAAGCAGCTCTTCGTGCCTCTCTCCCAACCCAAGGCAGTTTAGGAGGAATTTAATCTGCATCGCTGTGGTGTTTTCCCCGTTTTACAGGCAGAGCAATACACTTACAGAGATGCTAAACAATTTGCCCAAAGGATTTGGTAAACTGGGGATGTTCCCTAAGTTCCCTTTTGCCTAATTTTGTGCTGGAATCACAGCTCTTTTAAAGGGACACTGCAAAAGCACACAAACTGGCTTTTTCCTTTTTTTGCTTCTTTAAGACAGGAAAAAAATAACTAGCATTTTCAGGGCATTTGTTGTTGTGGTATGTTTGCATGCCACAGAGCTCAAAAGCTCAAAGTTAGCTTTTCTCGTGTTTGCTTACTGCAGTGTAAACAATAATAATACTACCAAGGTTTTAAAAACCTTCTCCAGATCCTGTTTAGACTTAGGAGAACCTACAAATCTTAGAGAAAGGACAGGGTGATAATACACCGCTTACTAGGAGTGAAATCTGAGCCATGAAGAGACTCGGATCAGGTCACATCAATTGCTTAGTGTTTCTTTTTCTGATCGCTAATTTCTAGTTTGCATCACTTAGCAATTAGCATCTGAATTTAAAAAAAAAAATTCTGAAGGCTTAGAGAGTGCTCTTGAACAAGTTTTAAAGCTTATGCTGAGCTTTACTAGTCCCAGACAGTGAGGGACAGGGTGCAAGGGGGCTGTGCCTGGGGCTCGAGCCAAGAAATACAAAGGCACCCTGAGACGGGTGCCACCACAGCAGCGAGAGGGACACAGCGCTGGGGGAACTGGGGGGGTACAGAGCAAAGGGCAACAACCCCAGTATGTGCTGTGGCACACAGAGTCCTGGGGAACGCATTGCTGTTCACAGGGGCCCCCCCAGGATACAACACACGGGCTGTGTGGGGGGCACCAGCGCGACAGGACCTCGCGGGGAGGTGAAGACAGTGGGTTTGAGGCCCAGGACGTCGCCACAAGAGAGTCTGAGAGGGGAGAAGCGGTAGGATGGAAGTGTTGGGTCTGGGAAGAGAGCTGGGGGGTTTGTGGGGGCACACCTGGGAGCTACGGGAGGGCAGTTCTGGGCTCTGGAAGCTTGCATGGGGGCTCGGAAGGAGCAGTGGTGGCTGTGAGGGCACAGACCAGGGGCTCTGGGTTCTACAGAGGCGCAGGCGGGAGCCACAAACACTCTGGGGGTGCAGGCAGAGGCTACAGGGGAGAAACGGGAAATCTGGGGGCACAAGTGAGGACTGGAGAAGCGCAGTGGGGGCCGCGGGGGCTCTGGGGGAGCAGTAGGGGCTGTAAGAAGGGGCTACAAAGGCCCTTGGGGTGCAGACCAGGGCTGTGGCGGAGCTGCGGGCGCCTGAGGAGTGCCGCGGGGGCTGGGGGCTCGCGGGACGGGCCACGGGAGAGCACCGGGGGCTCCGGAGAGACCCCACCGGGGTACAAGGAACCTGCAGGAGCGTTTGGGGTTACGGA